AATCGTACCTGCCTTCGGCCGGAACTTTCAAGTCCGAGCTCGTCGAAAATCATATTGACTTACAGCCTCGCCATCACAGATCCTCGCCGTCGCCATCTCACAGCCTCACCGTCTCAAACCCACCACCACAACCCGTCGCTGCCACAAATCCTTGCCGTCACAAATCCTCACCGTCCCCATCTCACAGCCTCGCCGTCGCCATCTCACAGCCTCACCGTCTCAAACCCACCACCACAACCCGTCGCCATCATAGATACCCACCACCACAACCCATCGCCGTCACAGGTCCTCGCCGCCGTCACAGATCCTCGCCACCATCACCAACTAAACCAGATGAAGGCTTGATATATATATATATATCTTTTAAATATAATATTTATTTAATTATATAGACAAGGGTATTTTAGGGATTTTAATAAAAATAGTAGCTGACGTCATCAAGTTTCGTCGTTGACTGGCGTTGACCGTAACGGAAGGGAGGTCCGTGTAGGATATTTTCAAAAGTAGGGGAGGTTCGCGTAATTTCTGAAACAGGAGGGGTGCTGCCTGTAATTATGGCAAACCATAGGGGAGGTCTGTGTAAATTACCCTTTTTAAAAATTATTTACTTGGGAATTGAATGGTTTTCTTTCCAATGAAATGATCATTCCCACTTTAAATTATATTTCAAACAAATGGATGGTTAGAATGGGTATTTCATTCCATTCTATTCATGGACACCAAATATTACATAATATGATAACTTAGGGATGGCAATTTGTACTGCCCAGTCGGAGCCCCGCCCCTCATAGCACAGGTATGGGAACCGTTTATGTACCGTAAGAGCGAGTATGGATTTAAATTTTAAACCCGTCGTGGGTTACGGGCGAGTACGGGTTTTAAGAAACATCCGCCCCTCCCCGCTCTTTATACTTTATTTTGAAAAAAAAATAAAAAATTATATATATATATATATATATATATATATATATATATATGTAATAGGACATATATGGATTTAGGCAAACTAGTCCATACTTGCCTCGCTGCCATCCATAGGATAACTTTATCTACTGATAAATCGTGCATTATGAAAATAGTTGTGAAACAATGTCTAAAAGTCGAACACATCCAACTATACTTATGTGAGTGAGAGATAACATCCACATAAAAAAATAAAAAGTCAGATGTGTCTTAATCTTGAACAACTTATCATTTTTCATCTTGAAGAATGAAATTTAATATTCAACAAAAAGTTTTGTTTTTTTTTTTTTTTTTTTTTTGGGTTATGGTACAAATTGTATCTTTCTAGAGTACTAGTAGAAATTTTTTTTTTATATTTTTTTTATATTATTATTATTATTTTCATTTGGAGAGCTCTTATATATAAACTTGTCTCATGTACAAAGGATGTTTTTTTTCCCTAGGGGTTCGTTTGGTTAGCCGGAAATTGATGATGGAAAGTGAAAGGAAAAGAAAGTAAAGTAAAAGAAAAGAAAATTATGTTTCTATCATGCATTTGGTTAGCATGATTTTTTTGTAAAAAATTTGTGGGAAAATGTTGTTTCATTAGTTTGGTTAGCAAGAAAGTGAAAAGAAAATGATTTATATACCAAAATTACCCTAATGAATTCAATACTAAGTGAAATACATCATGCAACAAGGATAATAAAAAATATAAATAATTGTTTTATGTATAAAAATATATGTGCGTGCATATATATATATAGAGTCCCAATTTAAAAAGTCAGAAAATTATAACTTAATTATGAGTCCTAATTTAAAGAGTTAAAAAGTTGTAATATATGTAGGAGTCCTAATTTATGAAAAAGAAGTTGTTCCTTTTGTGAGTCTAAAAAGAAGGAAGAGAAATAACTACAAAGGGTATAATTGGAAACTAACACATGATGATATAACTTCCACGCGAAACTGAAATTTTCGCGTGTTTTATAGAGCAAACATTTTAAGGAAAATCAACCAGTTGCGGTAATATTACTTTCCTGAAAATTTTTCCTTTCACGCTAACCAAACTACCAAATAATTTAAAAATTTTCCGTTTCTTTTTCTTTCTAGCTAGTTGACGCTAACCAAACTAACCCTAGGTGAATAAAAGAAATTGAAAGAACAATTATACAAAGCATTGTTTTCAATGACTAAAGTTTTTTTTTTTCTCTCCAATTTTCTCTAATATGGTTTCAGAGCCATAAGACACCACAATTGGTCATGTTTGCTCTAATAGCAACAATTTTTCAAGTTTTGAAGTGATGCCACTACTTCTTCTCAGTGAATATTCATGTGTGACCTATCAAAATGATTTTTTTTAAAAAATATTCTTTAATATATATATATATATTCCTGTAATAATAAATGTGATTGATATGTATACCAAACTATACATGAATTTAACGTGGTGTTTAAGCGGCCTAACTTTGAAATTAAATACTAATAAGACCAGACTTATACCTGTTACATTGAGGGGTTAGGGTAAAAAATATCTCAAAATTAAAATAAAAAAAGCATGTTTGTCATGAGGTGTGAGCAAACTTTTTCTTTTTTTTTTTTCAAGGCGAGAAGTGTTAAAAATTATATTAATAGATCCAGGGGTGGACCTATAACTTTAGGAAAGGGGGGCAAGACTAAAATTTTGTAATATTTCAGGGGTGGCATTAGCAATATTTTAGGAGTATATATTGAAAAAAAAATAATAATAATAACATGGTATATTAGTAAAGAATTACCCCTCTTCACTTGTTAACAGGTCCGTCCCTGAGTAAATGAAGAGAAATCTGGCACTTCAAAATCCACCGAAGATATTAACCCATGAGTTATCGAGGCATCTGTCGGTGTGAGCAACCTTACACTCAAAAAAAACATAACATAAGTTTGTGGAGACATGTGTGGGAGCAAACTTACCTATTAAAAAATAAAAATAAAAATGTGTCCTAGAAGATGGACAAAGTACATATACTATTTTTTTTTTAAAGGATACTCTCACTCTTAAAATATATATATATATATATATATATATATATATATATATATAATGTTTTTAAAACCATAGTGCTCCCATTTTCTTTTTGTGGGGTTGTTAATAATCTCCTCTTCTACTACCTCTGTCTCTGAATAGAAGTCCATGTTTAGAAATTGGAGTTTTTAAGGATACATGCAATTAATGCATTGTCCCCCTTTAAAATAACCAAACTGTCCTTTTTAATTTAAATATATATAGTTACAAAATTTGAAATTTTTAAAAAAGATAAAGCACAATGATGAAAATATAATGAAAAGATGGTTTGACTTTTTAAAGATAACAACTAATTTGAGACATGTAAAAAATAGACTACTAATTAGGAATGGATAGAGTATATCCTTTCAAGATGACTTATATATATATATATATTGAGAGAGAGAGAGAGATATAGAGTCTAATAGCAAAAGCTGTCACCTCACTTATATATATATATATATATATATATATATATTTTCTTCTTGAAATGCATATAAGATGAAAAATTGCATGATTGAATTTCAAAGAATATAATGGAGAAAAAAATTAAATGCTCACATTTAAGTCCAATTTGAAGAATGAGAGAAATAGTACAATAATTTAAGCCATGTTAGAATAAAATCACAAAAAATAAAAATGACAATGACGGGAGAACATCCCTACTCATTTAATTTGTTCTTACTTGGTAATTGAACCATCCAATATACATATATATACACATTTTGCATGGAACTATGTTTTGAGGAGGTGAAAGGAATATTGTAATGCTATTGCTATCTCGTTCATGATAAATCTTTTTTCTTTTTCTTTTTCTTTAATCTATGAACATATAACTACTCCTCTCAATAATTTTTCAGGTATGCCACATCTTTTCAAAGCTGATAAAACAATCTACATGCTACTTCCTGATTCTAATATTTAAACAATCAACGTTTTATATATTTTTTTCTTAAACCAATAAAACGAGTAACTAACTCCAAATTAAATCACTCCTCTCTTTTTTATTTTCCTTATAAATAATGTTCGAAGCTTGTCATTTAATAATCCAACATAATATTGAATAAATTTAGTGTTTATTTAATTAAGTGTACTTATAACATAACTTAGATATTACTTGCAAGAATTTTTTTTTTTTTAAAAAGGAAGAAGATTAACTTGTCACTGAAAACTTAAGATTCAAACAAATATAAAAAAAAAAATACTCAATTTATATTTTGCACTAAAATTTAGTGCCTAGAATTTTTATTGCTTAAGTTTCATTTTTATCAAAGACATATATATTTTAGATAGTACATAAATTTTGTCATTAAAGTAATTGGATTATCGTACATGCTATAATAATTGTCTGAGGGGCATGGCGGCATTAGTAGGGATTCGAGAAGTAAGTCATTGAGGTCTCATTTTCGAATCGCGCCCCCTGACTTGAATGATGAGTGTATTATAGAGTCGATATACGTACCCTAAAAAAAAAATACATGCTATAATAATTATTTCATGTCAAAGTTATGGTGTTGAATTATTTATCATAAGGAGGAAGATTTTGACGCGCTGATAATATTGCTCTATTATAATTTAGACGTTGGAACACTACTCAATGACTTAGTTGCACACTCACCTAGTCTAGTTAGTGTGTCCATATTTGAATCCCATCTCCCCTAATCGAGTAACATTGTTTTATTATTTCAGATACAGACTTCACAATAATTAAACTCGCATGCTCTAAGTAAGTCGTCGCAACGAAAGTTTTGTGCAACAACTATCTTGTTTTCAATATCATCGTCAGAAGCAATCCATATTTTCTCTTGGCGGTTCAAGTTTTCTTCCATTTCTGACACTGAAATGAAGGGCTTTGCCCCCAAATCAGAAAAATTGATTCAGATCTAGACATTTATTAATTACACACAACAAACCCTAACAAGTGGGTAGATGTAACCTAGAAATTTTTTAACCTCATAATAGAAATGCCGAAACCCCACACACACTATAAACAAGTGGCGTTCTTGATATTTTGAGGAAAGGCCCTCCACTTTTTTGTATCCCTCGACTCTTTCTCTATTCCCATTCCCCACCCAAACCCCAATTTGCATAAACCTCATGTTTCAATCATAATCACCCATAACACCACCATCATCATCTCTCTCTTGTATAATCTAGTGAGAGAAAATCAACAATGCCATCAATTCTCAAGAAACCCTAACTACCAAGATTTGTTTGAACCCATCCCAATGGACCTCACCACCACCAAAATCCCTGAAAATGGAACCCCACCAAAGAGCCAACCAAACAAGTCCTTAACCTTCAGCAACGGCGCACTCAAAAGACGCAACTACCACTACCACCACCACCACCACCTGACACCAGGCCCACCGCCGCAGCCGCGGGCCGCGGCGGTGGTGACATACAAAGAGTGTCTGAAGAACCACGCAGCCAGCATAGGTGGCCACGCGGTGGACGGCTGCGGAGAGTTCATGCCCTCCCCCACCGCCACCCCCACAGACCCCACCTCGCTAAAATGCGCCGCGTGTGGTTGCCACCGCAACTTCCACCGCCGTGAACCGGACGACCACCACACCAAAACCACCCTCACCACCGCCACCCACTTCCTCGAATTCCGCAACCACCCCCACCGTCCTCAGTCACCACCCCTTGGCGGCGCCTCCGCCTCACCCTCCCCCTCCCCCTCCCCCTCCCCATCCCCACCACCACCACCACCCTTGCACTACTCATCAGCTCCCCACATGTTACTCGCCCTCAGCACCGCCCTACCTGATGACCCACCGGCAATGAACCACCACCACCACCCAGTATCTCCGCCACCGCCGCCGGCTACGGCGGCGCACCCAAGTGGGCGAAAGCGGTTTCGGACCAAATTCAGCAGAGAACAGAAGGAGAAGATGTTTTCAATGTCTGAGAAATTGGGTTGGAAGATGCAAAAGTGTGATGAATCATTGATTGAAAATTTCTGCAACGAAGTTGGGATTGGTAAGAGTGTTCTCAAGGTTTGGATGCACAATAACAAGAACACTTTTGGCAAGAGAGAGACCAACACCACCACCACCAACAACAATTATGCTAAAGCTGGCTTTGATAACAGCAATGGCCAAAACACCAACACAAACAACAATAGTCAATACCATAACCATCGCGAGAGTAGTGGTGTTCATCTTAATGTTTCCACTGATGGGTCTTCTTCTTCATCTTGATTTGTAGTGAGAGAAAAGTAAGAGAGAGTGGGTTAGAGAGAGAAAGGGGAATAGATCGAGTACTGGTGATATTAGTACGACTTGCTTTCTGTTCCCATTTCTCTTGTTCTGTTGATCGTGCAGTTAATTGAATGCTAATCTTTGTAAATGGTGGAGAGAAAGGGAAGAGAGAATTATAATTCCTTTCCTTTTGAGGAATACTATTTTTGTTAATTTTCTGTTATCTTTTTTCTCTAAAAAAAAAGGTACTTCCATCTTTCATTTTTTTTCCTCTCTGCCATGTCTTTTTAATTTCTTTCCCTTCTTTCTCTATCAATTTGATTTGGGCATGGATATTGTTTTGGTTAAATTTAATGGTTACAGTTGATTTCCTTAGTTTTGAGGGATATATATATATACACACACACACATATATATTATATGAATGTCCAACACAGAATCATAACATTACACACATATACACACATAACTATGTATTCATTCATTTATAGGACTTTAAATACATATTTTGCAGGGCAGGTTGTTGTTGGGAGATGATGGCTCAGGGAGTTCTGGCAGAACTTTGAATTTGAATGAAGCAAACCTAGCTCAAAACCTTATTATCTTTCCTTATTAATCATTGTTTAATTTTTTTTATACAGGGAGATTTAGGTGTCCTTTATTATGAGCAGTGCCCTTGGATGAAAGGACAATTCTGTCCTTGTCATAATCGTGTTTTGTTTTAATTTTAGGTTAGGAGATGGGGTCTGTTTGGGTATTCTTAGTAGGTTAAGTGAGATGGCTGTCTCACTTATCAAACAAAAAAAAAAAAAAAAATCATTACAAGAGCAAACAAACTTGTGATTTGTGACATTTCTATAAATTTAATATGTTATCCTCTAATCTGAACTTTTAAGGCAAGCAGGCTTTGTTGTCCAATGAATGTCAATTTAAATAAGATTGGGACTGCCACGTTTCCTTATTTGGTTGGTTGATTAAGGCGGCAAGATTTGTTTATCTTTTGTTGATAAGTTTTGAGATTAGTTTGAATTAGCAATGATGATAAGCAGAGGGAAGGGAATAAAATAAATAAATAGATGGTATTTAACAAATATCAATTGAATTAGTCTTAAATGATCTGATGTAACTATGGAAGGATTTGCATATCCATAGAAAGAAATTTCTTTTTTCTTTTTTATAATTAAATATCTAAAACAATTGTTCTCATGCAATTCAAGACTTTGATCATGCATCTCAAACTTTTTTTTTTTTCCTTGAGTAATTTAAAAATATATATATATATATATATATATATATCTATGAAGAAAGATGTGAGATGAGATCGGTCTGACATATTTTTGGGCCTTGGGAGAATTGGAACCCAACCATTTGAGTTTAGGCCTTGCCCTTAAGAAACTTCTTATCAATTGGTTTATTTTTTGTTTTTTAGTAGAGGATATCCTCCTCACTACGGATGGTAACGGGATGGGTTTGGGTAGGTGTACACGCCCCCGCTCCCGTAACCGTTTAGAAACTCCGTCCCCGTCCCCGCCCAAAACCGCAAAAATGGGGGAACTTTCCACCCCATCCCCGCCCCCATTTAATATTTTTACCCCCGTGGATACCCGCCCCGCCCCGCCCCGTTTAAGAGCAAAATTTCTCCTTCATTTAATTTTTTTTATCAACTAAAATTTATATATTTATTGAAAAGATTCATTAAAAAATGGGCAATTAATAGTTACTTCAACATTAAAAACATTCTATAATAACAATTTCATTAAAAATAACGTACCAAAACCAGACAAGCCAAATTACATTGTTCCAAATTGGCTTCCAAAAGAGTTTTAATAATAATTTTTTTAAAAAAAAGATAGTTCATTACATAGTGGCAAAAAGTTATCAGAAAATTCAGATTTCAAAACAATCTTCTCATAAATTTCTTCATGAGTCTCCATAGTTACACAATTTCTTCAACATGGGTAGGCACCGCTGGGAGTAATGATGTGAATGAGAGAGTTAAGAAAACCTAGGGTTTCTAATAGGAAATAATAAATATATGTAATAATTAAATAAGGGTAGTTAAGTAATTTTCATATCTAAACGGGGCAGGGCGACCTCCCCCCGCCCCTGTACCAAACCCGCGCGAGTTTTTGATATATCAAACCATCCCCGCCCAAGTTAGCTAAACGGTCCTCCAAAACCGCCAAAAACGGGACGGGTTGGGGCGGGTAACCGCGGGGGTGGGTCAAATTGCCATCCCTACTCCTCACATTCTAATGAATGGAATTATTCGCTCCAAATGCACTTAACTTCTGCATGACCAAATATTAGACGTTTTTAGAAATTGAAATTTGTAAGGGGACATGTAATTAATGCATTGTTCCCTTTTAAAATTATTAATTTGTCATTTTTAGTTTAAATATGTTTAGTTACCAAGTTTAAATTTTTTTAAAAATATAATGGACAATGATGGAAAGTCAAGACTTATTTGGTCTAACTTTTCAAAGTGAACAACTAATTTGGGACAACTAAAAATGAGATAATAGGCTACTAATACGAACCAGAGGTAATATAATAGTGTTTTGTGGTGTGCCGAATTCTTCGGCCCAAATACTACTGTTCATTTTATTTTAATCAAAATCAAGACATTTGATTAAATCCCAAGAGATTCTAACATAGTGAGCTGTCCCAATGAAATTATGCATTGAAACTTTGTTTTACAATTAAACAATTCCTCGTGTCAAGGTTTGATGCTATGTATCTTACTTAAATATGCTTTTTCTTAACTTAATGGGTTGGACATTTGTAAGCCTAGTTGTTGACACATATTGAGCAAGTTTTAAAAATCAATGAAGTGGGCTTTACGGATTTCTGCTGGTCAATGGATCAAGAATTGATGAACACTTCAAAATTTCCCAGAAACCATTAAGAAAATGCAACATGGCATAAGATAGCCTGATAACAACATGGCACTGCTATCGAGATATCGGCAACAACAACCTGTAAGATAATGCCTTTAGAATCCTGAAAAACGATTCTGTCGCTTCCAAAATACATGGAAACTAAAGATGAGGCATTCTTGACACACTACAACTCTAATAGACCGGGAGGAACCCAACATAAATCCGCCGAGCAGCAAAGAGAGATAGCAGAAGAACCCATAAATAGATGTGCAGAGAAATAGATAGAAAGCCTAGTTAGAATATAATTCACCAAACCATTCAAATCCATAGCCACTGATGGGCCTTCTTTAAAAGGTCCACATATCATAATACACACAACAAGCGGACCAGTAATTAAACAATACCCAGCATAGGCCTGAACAATCTCAAGATCCGACCATAAAGGATGCAATAAAATGGGCATGGGCTACAAAAAACAAAGAGGCCCACCTAAGGGCATAAGGTGGAGCGGCTCCTTAATAGATCTCAAACAGTAACCAACACAAAATATCTCTGTCATTGCATTCCCCGCACGCAGGGAGAACAATAAAAGTACATGATGTGACAGTGGCCCCAAATACAGGTTATGTGCCGACCAAAAGGGGACACGTAGCCAATGGAGCAGAGGAGGGGATATGAACGTTGACCAAAAGGAGATCGGTAACTGTAAGGAATCCTCCGATGCCTCGTGTGATACCCCCGAATTTTCGAATGCGGGTTGGCCAGGCCCACGCCCGAATACCCGAGGATATCAAAACAAATTGATAATAAACGAACACAGAGTACAAAAGAATAAAGAAGAATAAATAAAATGCTGACAAGAAACTAAAATGATAATCTAATAATAAACCTCATAATATATTTCCATTAATTAATAAACTCTTCTGATACAACTGATCCTCCAAAATACAACTCGGGAATCCATACTGTGTGGACCCCTAGAAAATCCAAACTAAACAAATGACAGTAATCTAAAACAGGAAACTGAATCATAAAGAAACTCCTATGTAGCATCGGAAGAATGAAGTAGACTGATCCCCGCTCAGCACGAACAACCTCTACTCGTGACGAACACTTGAAAAATAATGGTGGGTCAGGCCCACAAATAAGTTCTACTCTACTACAGTCCAAGCAGAGATCCGATACACGTATACATCCTAGTCAATCCAACAGTAACTAGTAATCCGTATATATATATATACACACTAAAGGAACCTCACTAGACTATAAGGTTGTCTCAACCTGAATAGTAGGTAACATGCAAAACGCACATATAGTGAGCATGAGTACCTAGACCTACCAGGGTACACAACTACACTATATCTAGCTACACATCCCTGGCGATATACGCGCCCTAACCATTGGTCCTGAGACTCAAGCTCATATCATGGCACCATACTTATATATATAAAATCTAGTAACCATTCTATCCAGTATAAATTAATCCTTCATAAGTTATTCAACTTGTTCAGCTGACCTGACTTGAATATAAGTAGGACTTAACATTTTAGTTAATCCATTCCCTTATATAATAAATTAATACTCCATAAGTCATTCAACTTGTTCAGCTGACCTGACTTAAATATAAGTAGGACTTAACATTTTAGTTAATCTATTCCCTTATATAAAATAGGTAGGACTTAACTGATAAGTTAATCCATCCCTATAATGCCACCATCCCATACCGGTGCATTAAACCACACAATCCAACAATTGATGTAACAATTAAGGAAATACATCAAACATTCCATAAATAACTATGATAAATATGATATCAAGTTATCACATAATAGGAATGACTTATTATTTCTTTAAACTTCCTATATCATATGTCCTACACAAACTGAATCTTATACATGATGATATTTTATTATACCGTTAAATAAGGATTCTCTATATCCAATTCATCCTACACATTTAATCTCAATTACTAAAATATTTTAAAAGATTAAATCCATTCGTTTGTTTAAAACATTCAAATAGCAAGCATCATTATGATTGAGTTTATTTAAATTTATTAAAACCCAAACCTAGTCCCTATTTAATGCTCAGGAATCCTAGGCATGTTTCTACGTTCCATCATTCCACAGATATGAAAAATACATAATTTAAACATGTAAAAATTCACATAAGAAATCAAATCAAAATCATACATTTTATCAATTCATAACACAAGAACAGATATGAACCAATTTCATAAAACCTATGTTCTAACCCAATTAAACATGCATAATTATTTAATTTTATGTGTTTAATAAATTCTGGAATTTCCTAGGCATGTACAGAAACACGAATCAAAGGGAAAGAGATAGAAGAAGAACTTGCCTTAAACTTTCGGATCG